CTTTCTCCCGCGGAGCAGCTGGTAGTTTCGAACCGCTGACCTTAAGGTTCGCAGTCCGATTCGTAACCACTACGCTACCAGAGCTCCTTATATATATATATGCATATTTACATAAACATATGTATATATGCATTTCATTCATCATTCATTTCCCACAGTGCATTCTAACATCTAAATATTGTTCCAGCTTTTTGTTGTTGTTTAATTCTCCAAGAACTTGGTAAGGTTTTCTCCTTTGCTCTTTCTGGCTTCCCTTTTGTTGATAGGTGCCATCTAGTTGGTTCTGACACATAGTAATCCTAGGTACACTAGAATGAAACACTGTCCAGTCCTGTGCCATACTTGAAGTAGTTATTTTGTTTGACCTATTGTCGCACCTACTGTGTCAATCCATCTCTTGGGGGTCTTCCTCCTTTCCCACGACACTCTGTTTTCTGAAACATGATGGTCTTATTCTGAGATTGGTCTCTTCTAATAACATGTCTGTCTTAGTTATGTAGAGCTTCTAAACAGAAATACCACAAGTGGATGACTTTAACAAACAGAAATTTATTCTGTTTAGAAAGCTAGAAGTTCAAACTTAGAGTGCTGACTCTAGGGAAAGGCTTGCTTTCTTTGTTGGCTCTAGGGAAAAGTCCTTGTCTCCTTTCAGCATCTAGAGGCCCAACATTTCCTGGAAATCTCTATGTGTTTTGGAATCAGTCTTCCCCTGAATCTAGGAGCTTTACAGTGCAGAGACTCCAGATCCAAAGGACACAGTGCACTTCCTGGCTCTTCTTGGTGGCAATAGGTCTCCTTGCTCTGTTCCTTTTATTTCTCTCCTTTTATACCTTGTAAGATAAAAAGTTCACCACTCATCCATCAGTTTGTCATACTGTGGTGCCTTGCATGTTGCTGTGAAGCTGGAAGCTATACCACCTGCATTTTAAGTACCAGCAGGATCACCTATGATAGACAGGTTTCAGTGGAGCTTCCAGACTAAGACACACTATGAAGAAGGAGAGGCAGACTACCTCTGAATGTTTAGCCACTGAAAATCTTATGAATAGTAGTGAAACACATAGCACCAGAATACTGAATATTGAAACACTATGAATAGCACCAGAATATTGTTAGATATAGTGCTGGAAGATGAGTCCTTCAAGTTGGAAGGCACTCAAAATATGACAGGGGAAGAGCTGCCACCTATGCTGATGAGGCACAACTCAAAATGAGGAGAAACAGCTGCAAACATCCGTTATTAATCAGAATGTGGAATGTATGAAATAGAAATCTAGGAATATTAGAAGTTGTCAAAAATGAAATGAAACACATAAAAATTGGTATCCTAAGCATTAGTGAGCTGAAATGGACTGACATTGACCATTTTGAATTTGACAATCATGGTTTACTATGTTGTTGTTGTTGTTGTTGTTGTCAGGTGCCATCGAGTCGGAACCGACTCATAGCGACCCCATGCACAGCAGAATGAAACAATGTCCGATCCTGGGCCAACCTCACTACCGCTGCCACACTTGACACCATCAATGATGCCACCTGGCTGATCCATCTCGTTGGGGGTCTTCCTCTTTTTCTCTGACCCTCCATCTTACCCAGCATGACATCCTTCTCCAGCGACTGTTCCCTCCTGACAATATGTCCAAAGCTTAGCCATCCTGGCCTCCAAGGAGCACTCTGGCTGCACTTCTTCCAAAACAGATCTATTGGTTCTTTTGGGCAGTCCACGGCACTTTCAGTATTCTCCTTCAACACCACAACTCAAAGGCATCAATTCTTCTACAATCTTCCTTATTCACTGTACAGCTTTTACATCCATATGAGGTTATATTTCACATCCATATGAGGTTTACTATGTAGGGAATGACAAATTGAAGAGGAACGGTGTCGAATTCATTTCAAGAACATTTCAAGATTTATCTTGAAGTATAATTCTGTCTATGATAGGATAATATCCATACACCTACAAAGAAGACCAGTTAATACCACCATTAATAAAAATTATCCACCAACCAAAAAAGCCAGAATGATGAAATTGAAGAATCCTACCAACTTCTTCATTCTGAAACTGATGAAACACAAAATTAAGATACATTGATAATTACTGGTGATTGGAATGTGAAGGTTGGAAACAAAAAGGAAGAATCAGTAGTTGGAAAATATGACCTTGAATAGTTATAGAAACAATGCTTGAGATTGCATGATAGAATTTTGCAAGACCAATGACTTATTCATCACAATCACCTGTTTAAAACAACATAAAAAGACAATTATATGCATGGACCTCACCAGATGGCATACAGAGAAATCAAATTGACTACATCTGTGGGAAGCGACAATAGAAAAGCTCCATATCATCAGCCAAGACAAGGTCAGAGGCAGACTGTGGAACAGACCATCAATTGCTTATATCCAAGTTCTGACTGAAGCTGAAGAAAACTGAAACAAGTCTACAAGAACCAAAATATGACTTTGAACATATCCCACTTACATTTGAACATCATCTCAAGAACAGATTTGATGCATTAGACACTAATAACCGAAGCCCAGAAAAGTTGTGGGATGACATAAAGAACATCATAGAGGAAGAAATTTAAAGGTCATTAAGAAGACAAGAAAGAAGGGAACAACCAAAATGGATGTCAGAAGAAACTCTGAAACTTATTCTCCATAGTAGAGATGCTAAAGCAAATGGAAGAAATGAGGAGCTAAAAGAGCTGAACAGAAATCTTAAAGGGCAGCTAGAGAAGACAAAGTCAAGTATTATAGTGAAATGTGCAAAGACCTAGAGTTAGAAAACCAAAACTGAAGAACCAGCATTTCTCAAGTTAAAAGAATAAAGAAAAAAAATTCAAGTCTCAACTTGAAATATTGAAGGATTCTCTGGTCAAAATATTGAATGATGCAGAAAGCATCAAAAGAAGATGGAAGGAATACACAGAGTCACTGTACCACAAAAAAAGGACTCATGTTCAACCATTTCAGGAGGTAGAATATGATCAAGACCTAATGGTACTGAAGGAAGAAGTCCAAAGTACACTGAAGGCACTGGCAAAAAACAAGGCTCCGGGAATCGATGTGCTTTTGATTATGCAAAGGATTGCAACTATGTAGATCATGCCAAGCTATGAACAGCATTGCAGGGAGTGGGTACTGCAGAACAGTTCGTTATGCTCATAAAGAACCTGTACATAGAACAAGAGACAGGGTTTGAACAGAATGAGGGGATACTGAATTATTGAAAATCAGAGAAAGTGTGTGCCACGGTTGTATTTTTTCACCATACTTATTCAATCTGAATGTTGAACAAATAATGCTAGAAGCTGGGTTATATGAAGAACGTGGCATCAGGTTTGGAAGAAGACTTGTTAATAACTGGTGATATGTAGATGATACAACCTTGCTCTCTGAACGCAAAGAGGGCTTAAAATATTTACTAATGAAGGTCAAATACTATAGACTTCAGTACATGGATTGTACTTCAGTGTAAAGAAAACAAACATACTCACCACTGGACCAATAAACATATAAATGGAGAAAAGATTAAAGTTGTCAAAGAATTCATTTTGCTTGGAACCACTATCTGCTCTCATGGAAGCAGCAGTCAGGAAATCAAACAATGCATTGCATTAGGCAAATCTACTGCACAAGACCTCTTTAAAGTGTTCAAGATCAAAGATGTCAGTTTGAAGACTAAGGTACACCTGACCCAAGCCACGGTATTTTTTAATAGCCTCATAAGCATATAAAAGTTGGATAACAAATAAGAAAGACTGTAGAAGAATTAGTACA